GACATAACAATCATTAATATATATGCCCCAAACAATGGTGCAGCTATGTTCATCAAACAAACTCTTCTCAAGTTCAAGAGTCTAATAGACCACCATACAATAATCATGGGAGACTTCAACACACCTCTCTGGCCACTGCACAGATCTTCCAAACAAAAGTTGAATAAGGAAACTATAGAACTCAATAACACAATTAATAACCTAGACTTAATTGACATATATAGAATATACCACCCAACATCAAGCAGTTACACTTTTTTCTCAGCAGCACATGGATCCTTCTCAAAAATAGATCATATATTATGTCACAGGGCAACTCTTAGACAATATAAAGGAGTAGAGATAATACCATGCATCTTATCTGATCATAATGGAATGAAACTGAAAATCAACGATAAAAGAAGGAAGGAAAAAGCATACATCACTTGGAGAATGAACAATAGGTTACTGAATGATCAATGGATTATAGAAGACATCAAGGAGGAAATTATAAAATTCTTAGAGATAAATGAAAACACAGACACAACATATCGGAATCTATGGGACACATTGAAAGCAGTTCTAAGAGGAAAATTCATTGCTTGGAGTTCATTCCTTAAAAAAAGAATAAACCAACAAATAAATGATCTCATACTTCATCTCAAAATCCTAGAAAAAGAAGAGCAAAACAACAGCAAAAGAAGTAGAAGGCAAGAAATAATTAAAATCAGAGCTGAAATTAATGAAATGGAAACAAAAGAAACAATTGAAAAAATTGACAAAACTAAAAGTTGGTTCTTTGAAAAAATAAACAAAACCGACAGACCCTTAGCCATGCTAGCGAAGGAAGAAGAGAGAGAACTCAAATTACTAGCATACAGGATGAAAATGGCAATATCACAACAGACACTTCAGAAATACAGAAGATAATCAAAAATTATTTTAAATCCTTATATTCCAATACATTAGAAGATAGTGAAGGCATAGATAAATTTCTTAAGTCATATGATCTGCCCAGATTGAGTCAGGAGGATACAGACAACCTAAACAGACCAATATCAATTGAGGAAATAGAAGAAACCATCAAAAGACTACCAACTAAGAAAAGCCTAGGTCCGGATGGGTATACAGCAGAGTTTTACAAAACCTTTAAAGAGGAACTAATACCAATACTTTTCAAGCTACTTCAGGAAATAGAAAAAGAGGGAGAACTTCCAAATTCATTCTACGAGGCCAACATCACCCTGATACCTAAACCAGACAAAGACACTTCAAAGAAAGAAAACTACAGACCAATATCTCTAATGAACCTAGATGCAAAAATCCTCAATAAAATTCTGGCAAATCGGATACAAAAACATATCAAAAATATTGTGCACCATGATCAAGTAGGATTCATCCCTGGGATGCAAGGCTGGTTCAATATACGGAAATCAATAAATGTTATTCACCACATCAATAGACTTAAAAATAAGAACCATATGATCATCTCGGTAGATGCGGAAAAAGCTTTCGACAAAGTACAGCATCCCTTTATGTTCAAAACTCTAGAAAAACTAGGGATAATAGGAACATACCTCAATATTGTAAAAGCAATTTATGCTAAGCCTCAGGCTAGCATCATTCTGAATGGAGAAAAACTGAAGGCATTCCCTCTAAAATCTGGAACAAGACAGGGATGCCCTCTCTCTCCACTTCTCTTCAACATAGTTCTTGAAACACTGGCCAGATCAATTAGACAGACGAAAGAAATTAAAGGCATAAAAATAGGAAAAGAAGAACTTAAATTATCACTATTTGCAGTTGACATGATTCTATACCTAGCAGACCCAAAAGGGTCTACAAAGAAACTATTAGAGCTAATAAATGAATTCAGCAAAGTGGCAGGATATAAAATCAACACGCATAAATCAAAGGCATTCCTGTATATCAGCGACAAATCCTCTGAAATGGAAATGAGGACAACCACTCCATTCACAATATCTTCAAAAAAAATAAAATACTTGGGAATCAACCTAACAAAAGAGGCGAAAGACTTATACAATGAAAACTACAGAACCCTAAAGAGAGAAATAGAAGAAGATCTTAGAAGATGGAAAAATATACCCTGTTCATGGACAGGCAGAACTAACATCATCAAAATGGCGATATTACCAAAAGTTCTCTATAGGTTTAATGCAATGCCAATCAAAATCCCAACGGCATTTCTTGTAGAAATAGAGAAAGCAATCATGAAATTCATATGGAAAAATAAAAGACCCAGAATAGCAAAAACAATGCTAAGCAGGAAGTGTGAATCAGGCGGTATAGCGATACCAGACTTCAAACTATACTACAGAGCAATAGTAACAAAAACAGCATGGTACTGGTACCAAAACAGGCGGGTGGACCAATGGTACAGAATAGAGGACACAGAAACCAATCCACAAAACTACAACTACCTTATATTTGATAAAGGGGCTAAAAGCATGCAATGGAGGAAGGATAGCATCTTCAACAAATGGTGCTGGGAAAACTGGAAATCCATATGCAACAAAATGAAACTGAATCCCTTTCTCTCGCCATGCACAAAAGTGAATTCAAAATGGATCAAGGAGCTTGATATCAAATCAGAGACACGCCGTCTGATAGAAGAAAAAGTTGGCTACGATCTACATACGGTGGGGTCGGGCTCCAAATTCCTCAATAGGACACCCATAGCACAAAAGTTAATAACTAGAATCAACAAATGGGACTTACTCAAACTAAAAAGTTTTTTCTCAGCAAAAGAAACAATAAGAGAGGTAAATAGGGAGCCTACATCCTGGGAACAAATCTTTACTCCTCACACTTCAGATAGAGCCCTAACATCCAGAGTATACAAAGAACTCAAAAAATTAGACAATAAGAGAACAAACAACCCAATCAACAAATGGGCCAAGGACCTGAACAGACACTTCTCAGAGGAGGACATACAGTCAATCAACAAGTACATGAAAAAATGCTCACCATCTCTAGCTGTCAGAGAAATGCAAATCAAAACCACCCTAAGATACCATCTCACTCCAGTAAGATTGGCAGCCATTAGGAAGTCAAACAACAACAAGTGCTGGCGAGGATGTGGGGAAAAGGGTACACTTGTACATTGCTGGTGGGACTGCAAATTGGTGCAGCCAATTTGGAAAGCAGTATGGAGATTTCTTGGAAAGCTGGGAATGGAGCCACCATTTGACCCAGCTATTCCCCTTCTCTGTCTATTCCCTAAAGACCTAAAAAGAGCATGCTACAGGGACACTGCTACATCGATGTTCATAGCAGCACAATTCACAATAGCAAGACTGTGGAACCAACCTAGATGCCCTTCAATAGATGAATGGATAAAAAAATGTGGCATTTATACACAATGGAGTATTACTCTGCATTAAAAAATGACAAAATCATAGAATTTACAGGGAAATGGATGGCATTAGAGCGGATTATGCTAAGTGAAGCTAGCCAATCCCTAAAAAACAAATGCCAAATGTCTTCTTTGATATAAGGAGAGTAACTAAGAACAGAGTAGGGTCGAAGAGCATGAGAAGAAGATTAACATTAAACAGGGATGAGAGGTGGGAGGGAAAGGGAGAGAGAAGGGAAATTGCATGGAAATGGAAGGAGACCCTCAGGGTTATACAAAAGTACATACAAGAGGAAGTGAGGGGAAAGGGAAAAATAATACAAGGGGGAGAAATGAATGACAGTAGAGCGGGTAGAGAGAGAAGAGGGGAGGCCAGGGGAGGGGAGGGGAGGGGAGGGGAGGGGAGGGGGTAGTAGAGGATAGGAAAGGTAGCGGAACACAACAGACACTAGTATGGCAATATGCAAATCAATGGATGTGTAACTGATGTAATTCTGCAATCTGTATATGGGGTAAAAATGGGAGTTCATAACCCACTTGAATCAAAGTGTGAAATATGATATATCAAGAAATTTGTAATGTTTTGAACAACCAACAATAAAAAATTTAAAATAAAATGGAGAATGTGAATGTGTTTACAACTACTATGTAATTTGAATCAAAGGTTTGGTAAGCATTATTTTCCAAATCTTCATAGATAGATAACCTCTATTCAAAGGGTTTCAAAGAATAAAAAGAAAGAAAGAAAAGCACCCCAATAGTTTCATAAGCTAATATTGATGAATAAATCAAAGATATAGAAAGGAAACCAACAGGCCAATCTAATACAGGATAAAAATATAAATTCTACATATGATATTATTATACCAAATTCAGAAATGTATTTTAACAAAAGATATTCTAAGCACATTGGTTTAATATCATAAATGTAAGAATGACTTAATACTGGAAAATAATTTACTACTCTGTTTTGTTTAATCTTAGCAAATAGGAATAGGGAAGAATTTTCTGAACATAATAAGGAGTTGCTGCCAACAACCTCATTCTGTTACTTATTTATTTCTATTTCATTCATCCATTTGTTTTTTGTTTGTTTGTCTTACAGTAATGGGGATTGAACCCAGAGTGTTCTACCTCTGAATAACAATCCCAGCCATTTTTTGTTTTAAATTTACTTTAAGTCTTCCTAAGTTATCCAGGTGGACCTTGTGATCCTCCTGCCTCAGCCTTCTGGATAGTCACCATAACATGATTTTAGAAGCATTATTCTTAAGGTTAATTCAGCAGACATTTTTCTTTTAAAGTAAGTAAAAAAAAAAAACAAAGATAGGATTTATAACATATACTTAACTTGTACTAAAGCCTCTCGCCAACATAACAAGACAAGAAAAAGAAATTATACTGTATAAGGATTAGAAAATAAGAAGAAAATGATTTATGGATAATCTAGTTGTCTACTTAAGAAATTCAAGCAAATTTAATTTAATAAAGTATTATATAAAATAAAAATAATTGCTGAACATGGTGGCACACACCTATAATCTCAGCTACTTGGAAAGCTGAGGTAGGAGTGTCACAAGTTCAAGGCCAGCCTTAGGGGCTTAGCAAGATAGTCTCTCAAAAAAAATTAAAAATAGGGCTGGAATTGTGGCTCAGTGGTAGAGCACCTGCCTAGCATGCATGAGGCCCTGGGTTCGATCCCCAGCACCACATAAAAATAAATAAAATAAAGGCATGTGTTCAACTACAACTAAAAAATAAATATAAAAATAAATAAAAAATAAAAAGGGTTTGTGATGTAGCTCAGTTGTAGAACACCCTTTGGATACACTGCCACTGCCAGTAGAATTTACCTAGTATTGAATATAAGATCAATATGTGAAAGAGCCCAAGCCCATTAGAGATGATAATTTTTTTAAATCCCATTCATGATAACAGTAGATCTTTATTATAACTTTAATGAAAACTAATAAATAGTTGCAGTGTCTATATTAAGAAAATTATACAGCTTTATTAAAATGCACTTTAAAACCTACATACCACATGTATGGGTAAGTAGACTCCATATACAATGCAATCTACAAAAAACTGCAACAAGCTTTTCACAGACCTCGACAAGGTGATTCTAAAATTAATGAAAAAATGTAAGAGGCCAAGAATAGTCAAGAGAAACCTTAAGTGGAATTGGTGTAGTCATAGAGAAACAATGTAATGAAAAAGAATAGAAGGTTCAGAAACAGAATTACACATCAATGACTAATGAATCAATGCAAATTCAAGAATCAAATATGTTGTGTTTTAATAGTGACACTGAGATAATAGGCACTCTAAAATACCAGATCCCTACCTCAAACCATTTTCTAAAAAGTTTTTAATGAATCAAGAACCTAAATTTACAAAGTGAAACTTCCACAATTTTGGAAGATCTTCATCATTTCAGGGCAGAGAAGCATTTTTTACACAAAGAACAAAAAAGACAAAACACATTTTTGAAAAATCTCCTTTTTTTCAAATAAAATATGGATGTTGTAATATGCTAGATTTTTGTGACATCCTGGAACTGATAGGATATCAGCCTTGAGCTGTGCAATGAGTATTTTAAGGCAATCTGAACAGTATTACCCTCTGTAACAGGAGAAGAGGGGTTTTCCACACCATGTGTATGTTATGTCATTTCTGTTGTTCTGCCTTGATGGCTCCTTGTGCCTTCTAGGGCAAGGTGGATGCAGCAATGCTAATGTTTCCTCAACAGAAGGCTCTAAAGCATTTCTGGGTACAGACTCACCCCTCTGACAACCTAAGTTGTGAAACAGTTCTACAGATAAATGTAAGGTAGATATATTGTGGGAGAGGCCTGTAGCTACAATATCTATTCTTGCCTTCTGGGGCAACAACTAGACAAATTTTTTTAGCCTCTCTTTGCAGTTACTTGAGGTCATGTTAGCTCACTTCTCTCCAGTAGAATGTCAACGTGAGTGACTTCTGCTAATTCTAGGACTATCTATACAATCCTCCCAGGTGTGCTCCTCCAGGTTCTTTTTCCCTTCTAGGCTGACTGGGATGGTGATGTCCACACCAACCTTGTAAACCATGGATGGTTTGAAGTTGATAGGAGCCATCATCCTGACACCTAAGTGTCCATGTAAAGCACCCTCTGCTGACACTTTTGGGACTCTGTTACCTTAATTTAACTACATTTCACACACATTCTGAATGTATTTCCAGGATTTTGGTGACACACTGTAGATTGTGGATGGATCAGAAAAAAGGAGCAATATGGATGTACTGCCCTCTAGAATGAGAACTCACCAAAAGTGGGCAAGTTAGAGATGTTAATATTTGTGCAAACTCTGCTTGATTAAGCCCTTATTAGATCTATACTCTTCTAGAAGCAGAGGCAGATTAATTTCAAAGTAAACACACACACGCGTGCGTCCCCCCCCCCCCACACACACACACTCACACAGAAGATTGGCTAGCAATATTGGGGACCAACTACTGATATTCCTAACATGGATGAATCTCAAAAACATTCTGAGTGCAGGCATGGTGGCACATGCCTGTAATCCCAGCAATTTGGGAGGCTGAGGCAAGAGGATCGAGAGTTCAAAGCCAGCCTCAGCAGATTAGTGAGGCACTTAACAAATCAGTGAGAACCTGTCTCTAAATAAAATTTTAAAAATTTAAAAAAAGCATTCTAAGCAAGAGAAACACCCACTACTGTGTGCTACATGATTTTGTTTGTACGAAGTTCTAAAATAGGCAAAACAAAGCTATGATGACAAAAACAGAACAGAACAAGAGTTGTCTGGGGCAGAGGTGTGTGTGTGTGTGTGTGTGGTGGGGGTGAACAGAAAGGCACACAAGTGAACTTTTTGCAATTAGGGAAATGTCCCTATATGACAATTAGGGAAATGCCCTATATCTTTTTGGAGTTTAGGTGGTTACATGGGTGTGTATAATTGTCCGAACTCTTTCAACTGATAATTTAAGATTGACAAAATATATTATCTATAAATTCATTTCCATCATACATTTTAAATGCAAATTAAATGATTTTAATCTATCCATGCATTAATTCTAAAACACACTAGTATGGAATAATGTTCAGCCATCAGATCCTTTGGAGGTTACTGTTGTGATTATCCATCTATTAACACTGCAACATCTAAGATCAGAAAATGATTGTACTCCTACATAAAACCAAGACACACTATAAACATGTCCTGAGACAAATAAGATTTTTAAGTCAATAGTTTATTTCTGTGCATGGTCCATAATTTTCCACAGCTAGCTTCTAATTCTAAATAAACAAAATAAATACACTTCAATAAATAGTAGCAAAGTTTCTTCTGTTTTTAATAGGATATAATAATTACATGACAGACCTCTATTCTCTATTTTGAGATTTTAAATCCATGTTCATATTCTTTTTTTTTTTTTTTTTTTTTTTTGGTACCAGGGATTGAACTCAGGGACACTCGACCACTGAACCACAACCTCAGCCCTATTTTGTATTTTATTTAGAGACAGAGTCTCACTGAGTTGCTTAGCACCTTACTTTTCTGAGGCTGGCTTTGAACTCGCAATCCTCCTGTCTCAGCCTCCCAAGCCTCTGGGATTATAGACATGCACCACCTCTCCTGATTTAAATCCATGTTGTCTTATCCCTGAATTTCCACTTTCCCTTCTCTCACTGATGAATAGTAATATGCTCTGTGCTTACAGCTTGAGAAAGTAGATGACAGGATAGAAAACAGAAGAAGCAAAAATATTTACAAAAAGATTAGGAGAAAAGGATTCACCGAGTGGTATGAAGAAACCTAAGTGAAAAACAATCCTCCCAGACTAGAAACAGATTCTTTGGGAGTAGAACAGTGACAGAGAGAGGCCTGTGTGTTCTGAGAGCACAGAGTACTTCTGCCATGCTTCCTGGAAGTAGTGTTGAGGAGGCAGCAGGACCCCAGAGAAGAAAAGACTGCAAAGAATATGAAGGTAGGAGGAACCCAGAAGAGTCAGCAACAGATGTCCAGGTCCCATGGAGAGCACAGCAGAAGTGACTTTAGAGAGGAAAGTGTCAGGGTAACCTCTAAGAACCAAAGCTAAGCAGGTCCTCTCTAGCACACTGCCATATGTAAAACTGTAATGGTGGCTGACTTGGGTAGGTAGGTGTCATTCATTCCTTAAAAACTAAAGGCAACTCCAAACGAGCAAGGGTTTTGCTTTCTCACCAATCCTGAAAAATATTCTGAAATGAAAATACTTTTTGAATATCTCAGTGTATTGACTGAGACCCATTGTATTAGATTGAAGGAGCTGCAATAAAAAAGTGTCACAGATAGGGTGACTTCACAACAGGCAGTGTTTCCTCACAGTTCTGGAGGCTAGGATTCTGAGATGAAGGTGTCTGAGGCCTCTCTGTAGCTTGCGGATGGCTGTCTTCTCCCTTTACATGGTCTCCCTCTGTTGTCTGTGTCCTGATCTCCTCTTCTAAAAAGGACACTGGTCATAAGGAATTATTCATTTTACTTCATTTACCTTAATTACCTCTTTAAAAAAACCCTGCTTCAAATATAATCACATTCTGAGGTTTTCGGGCTTAGGACTGCAATATGTGACATTTAGGGAGTGGGAAGGACACAATTTATCCAACAATATCCATGAAATGTTCTCATCCATGATTGTTAACAAACATTCAGTCTTCTAAACATTACAAATCTGGCAAAAGAGTCACAACGTCAAGAAGATAACTATGTAGACAAAAGATAACCTTAGAGAAGTTACTTCTCATTTGCTGAATACAAATGGACTGTAATGAGTTTGAAACAGTGACAAAGGACACTTTAAAACCTCTGGGAAAAATGCAGTGTGATCAGAAAAAAAGGAAGTGATAACTATTGAGCCTTGCTGGAATTTGCTGGTAAGGTTAATTTATCTCTAATTTCTAAGAAAATATCTAAAAAAGAAGAACAAGAAGTTATCTTTATAACCCTTTCTGGAACTTTAAGTTTCTGAAAGATTAAAAATAACTGGATTTATTCCCAGAAAGAGAACCACACTGATTTATGGAAATTTAGATTCAGAGAGGATGAACTTGACCCATAGGGGGCAAGTTTGGGCAAATGTAAATTGAGTGTCATAATCAATTGCAAGTGTAAATTAAATTGCATATCATAATCAACTTAATGAACACAATCCTCCCCCTTCCACAGTTCTTCCAACCCTAAAGGAGAGGGAAGAGGTACGATTCCTGTTCATTTCCACAAGCAGAAATGATGAGCCAGGGACAATTGTCAGCAGAGACCCCATTGGACAAATGAATGAAGTGGTCATCGGAGCAGAGAAAGAGGCTATGCACGGGTCCGACAACACAGACTCCCACTTACCAAAGCTGAACAAGTTAATGCTTCTTCTGAATGCCCAAGCTACCAGCAATGGAGACCAACTCTGAGCCCCTTGTATAAACTATTCTTCGAGAAGACCAATGGGAAACTTGGTGGCAAGTTGACAAACTTGGGCCTCTTCCATCCTGGAATGCCTAGTGCTTCCTATTCTGGTGTACCATTGCCTTTCCTGCCCTCAGGGGCTCAGTCAATTTTGCTCTCCAGGATTTGTGGAATGTCTGGTCCTCAGGCATGGAATCCCAAACAACATTCAACAAGGGTATTTGTTTACAGTGAACAAAATGTGATCTTATCACACACTGAACCATCCAGAA